TTAGCAGAGACAATGGACTATGAAAGAGCTTAGTCTTCCTGTGGATGCTGGAGACAGCCTACGAGCAATGGCTGCCACAGCCATGCAGAGACATGGGTCCGAGTCACCTGGTACTGGATACCTCTCCTCCCCTTTTGGAATGCCAGTGGTTTTCCACTAGAAGATAAAGGGTTCCCACCTTGCACAAGAGCTATGTAAGGCAGGGGAGTGACGACATCATGGTTCTCTCCTCTGCCTCCCCACCCAAAGAGACACTGAAAAAACACCTGGAAACAAGAACTGAACTGGGGGCAGAAGGGTTGAACCCAAGCTGGAAGGGCATCTAGCTTGTGAGTAATAACTAAGATTTCAAGCTGGAGACTAGTGCATCTGCCTTTCAAGACTTTCTGTATTCTGCCTGCAGCAATATCTAGGGTGAGAACATAAGAATGGCCCTACTGGGTCAGACCAAACGTCCATCTAGCCCAGTATCCTGTCTTCCAACAGTGGCCAGTGCCAGGTGCCCCAGAGGGAATGAACAGAACAGGTAATCATCAAGTGATCCATCCCCTGTCGCTCTTTCCCAGCTTCTGGTAAACAGAAGCTAGGGACACTGTTCCTGTCCATCCTGGCTAATAGCCATTGATGGACCTATCCTCCATTTATCTAGTTCTTTTTTGAACCCTGTTATGGTCTTGGCCTTCACAATATCTATTGGCAAGGAGTTCCACAGGTTGCCTGTGCGTTGTATGAAGAAATACTTCCTTTTATTTGTTTTAAACCTGCTATTATTGTAACCAATTAATTATTATTTGTAACCAATTGTTTTTAGTGAAACTAGCTTAGTTTGTGTGTTTGGTTTAATTTGTTTAGTAATCTTTGTTCTGTTTGTTACCCCTTTTATCACTTAAAATCTGCCTTTTTATAGTTAATAAAATTTGTTTAGTTTATTATAGAACCCAGTTTCTGTCATTTCTAACTGGGCGGGGGCGAGAAGTTGTGCATACCTTCCTCCACATTGAGGGAGGAGGCGGATATCATAATATATCTTTGAGTCTGCATTCGAAGGGAGGTGGACACCTGAGTGCTGGGGCAAGTCCCTGAAGCTGAGCCGTCCCAGAACTGATCTCAGTGTCTGTTTCATTCTGCAGTTGGATGTGGCCCTGCCTGTGTGTGTTGGAGGAGGCTTAATAGCCTGACTCAGCAAGACATGTAAAAAGGGTGCCCAAACTGGCATAACAGGTGGGCTCAGTGGTATCTCGGCACACCAGGTGGTATCTTAAGGGGGGCAACCTGTCACAGGGGGATGGCCACAGTGCATCATGGGCGATCTAGTTCAGTCTAGAACTTCAGCCAATAAGAGGGAGTGGACGCATGAAGCACTCAAACTACAACTTCCATGAGGCAGTGTGGCACTATTGACAAATGCAGTTCAATGTTGAACTGACACAAAATGAAGTGGTTCAATTCAGCTAAATTGAACTTACCTAAAATGAAATATTTTGTGTAGATTTTGCCTATGGAAAATCAAAAAAATTCTGCCAAATCAAATGCATTCTTGGAAAACTTGTTTATCAGTGACTGCATTTTCTGTTGGAAAATCATTGCTGGGAAACTCCCGATGAGCTCTGCCCTTTAGTATGCTCATAACTGAAAGCATATGCCTAGCCACACTGACCTCCATAGGCCTAGTCACCTGCTTAAAGTTCAGCTTGTGCTTTGATTGTCTTGCTGGAGCGAGGGTCGGAGAGCCCAGCACCTCGCAGTAGGGAGCCCGTACGACGGAGCACTCCTAGGAGTGATGCTGAATTAGGGCAAACTGCACAACAAGAGACCAGTTACCTTAGCATCAACTATCAAGACAGGTAATAATGGGAGGGGGATCTGCAGGAGGAATAGGTTTCCTTGCAGTGAGATCCTGCAGTATGTGGATGGAATTTAACAAAAGGGAAACAAAACTATGGCTGTCTACCAAACGCCTATGGCAGAAGTGCTGGATTTCAGCACATTTCCATGTGTAGTACGTTAAGGGAAGAAGAGGGGCCATTGTGCCCTCTATTACGTACTGCTGGGCATGAGTTGTAGCTTGTATTCTATACTTGGCTCGTGCAAGATGGATGCTACAATTGGTTGCTGGCTTCTCAGAACCAACCCCCTTCCCTCGCTACCACCAGCCACATTTATGACTTGGGATGCCTAGCCAGAGATGATCCTGCTCTGCAGTCAAGGGCTCTTTCCTTCTAGTTCCTCTGAGAGTGGGCAAGGCCTTGCTCCTATTTAGTGAGGACACTGAGTGAGGCAAAATGGCACCTGATCAAGAAGAGTTGTGTGAAACTTGGGCCACTCTTGTGAGTGCATGGAGTGCTTTTAAAAGTGAGGGAATTCATGGCGCTCAGGGGCAGTGTAGCCTGGATCCAGGCAGATTTCCCCCTCTCCCCACACTGTAGTCCTGCCCTTTAGCACCTCTTTTGGCCCAGCCCTGGGTTTCTCTTGAACAAACAGTAACTGTGACAAACTCAGCGATGTGCACTGATGTCCATCCTTGTCGGTAATGATCCCCAACGAGGATCTGTTTGTTAGCAGGAAGAGTGCAGCACTATCTGATAGGAAGCATGATCAGGGTACTAAATCTCTGGCCCAAACTATGTTCCAACCACAGAAACTGGTGATGTGCCCAGTGCAGTTGTATTTCCCACGTGCTTAAACAGTCAGACTTCAGTGGAGCTAGCGATGACCAGGAAACAATGCAACAAACGAAAAGCAGAGCACAATAGCAAACAGTCGGGTGCCAGCATATGTACAAATATGATTGGAATATGTGAGCTACAGAGTCTCTTACAGGCAAGGGAAGCAGGGAACTGCTGTTCAGGTTTTTATACTTGTTAAAGTCAAGAGTCCTCTACTGGAGACAGGGCCCCCTTGGACACCCCTCCAAACCTCTGTACGCTCTCTTTGGCAAATGAAAACTCGAGAAGTTTAGCTCCCCGTCCAAACTTTTCTGAACCTCATTGGTTTGGAAATCAAGCTGAAAAGCTTGAGACTGGGCCTTCTTGGGAGATTCCAGTCCTTTCTGATTTTGTCTGAGCCACGAAAATAGTATACTTTGGGGGCAGTTGAAATGCTTCAGACCAAGATGGGAAACCACAAAGTTCCAAGAAGTTTGTAATGAAAATAAATGGTTTGCAGTTTGGACCAGTTTTTATTTTATCTTAGCCCAATAGCTTTGCTCACCCTACTTTCTGTTATGGGCAGGGGAAAGGGTAGGAACAATGGAGGAAGTTAATTGTTTTATTTCTCCTTTGTAAAGGAAAAGGGAGGTTATAGGAACACTCCACTCCAGTAGTGTTCTGGTGTGTACAGCAATAGAGACTGTTCACAATGCAGCTATTGAATAATTTATATTTTTTACCTGCATATCCATGTAACTTAGCAGTCACATGGCAGAGTCACTTGCCCTGTGTCAATGCACTTGTACTAACTCTGCAGGCATTGATTTTAGAGGCTAACTCAAGAAGTTCAGATCCTTGGCCAACTTTTCTGAACCTCGTTGTTTTGGAAATCAAGCTGAACAGCTTGAGGCAGCCTCAAGTGTGAAGAGTGTGTTTGAGCTTTTTCAGAGCATGGTTCTCAAAGTGATGTGTCCAACTCTGTGGGGCTGTCAGGGAAACTGCTACACAGGAAAACTAACATACTGCAAAAAAATTCAGTCAAGGATTTTTAAAAACCAGCCAAACAAGAAGCTGCTGTTTTGACACTGATGCCCCGGTTTGCAATGTGGGAGATTTCAGAATAGCAGCCGTGTTAGTCTGTATCCGCAAAAAGAACAGGAGTACTTGTGGCACCTTAGAGACTAACAAATTTATTAGAGCATAAGCTTTCGTGGACTACAGCCCACTTCTTCGGATGCATATAGAGTGGAATAAATATTGAGGAGATATATATACACACATACAGAGAGCATAAACAGGTGGGAGTTGTGTTACCAATTCTGAGAAGCCAATTAAGTAAGAGAAAAAAAAACGTTTGAAGTGATAATCAAGCTAGCCCAGTACAGACAGTTTGATAATAAGTGTGAGAATACTTACAAGGGGAGATGTAGCTTACAGTGTCAGAAGCAGCCAACAGGCAGGAGATTTTGTTGGTGAATCATGTTTGTTTTTTAAAAAATTACCAGATCTCGATTACAGCTTTGAAAATATCCTGTCTGTTGGCTGCACTGAGCTGCATTGCCAACAGCTTCCTCAGAAGCTGCTTCTTGTTGGGTGGGAGTACCAGTAAAATAGCAGCTGTCATCGGAGAATGAAGACAGCCCCTTTGGGAGTGGTGGCTGGAGAAGCCGAAACAGCAGCTGCTGTCCATATGTTACTGTGATGATTTGTCTTTAATTATTCACACAGCAAATGTCTGACCTTAGGATCAAAACCAATTGTGGGCTTTTGAATCAGAACCGCCGTGGTGGATTCACACAGAGACTTGTGCCTTTTTCATGCCAAGCGACGTGCCTGGTGCAGAATCACAAGCTGTGTTCAACAGGATCATTGCAAAAGCAGAGTACTGCAGTCCAAAGTCCACAGCAGTGTTGTCTCACTATTGCCTTGTGCTCCACTGTCAGGCTGTCTCTGTGACTGGGGTTCCAGTGGGGACCAGCTGAGGTTACGCAATTAGGGTGAACTGTAAAGAATGGGGCAGACAAACACCAAAGCCGATGGATAATTCAATACTTACATTTACCAAGCCAGCATAAAACAGCTTCTTTATTACCTCACTGGTTGCCCCAAAACAACCCAGTTCCCTTAAAGCAACCCAGCCTCAGGCCTCCATCCAGGTACCCAAGTCAAATATGATGAAGATTTCTGAAAATCATATTTCATCATATAAAGAACAGGTTCTACTAATACCAAAGGATCAGACACATTACCTCCCAGGTTATTGACTATTCCAGATCTTACCCAAATACAAGCATACGGCCAATTCTTATTAACTAAATTAAAATTTATTTAAAAAGAGAATGGTTAAAAGATCAATATACATACAGACATGAGTTCAATTCTTGAGGTTGAGATATATAGGAGAGATGATGAGCTTTATAGTTGCAAAGAGTTTTAGAATTTAGTTCATAGGTTATAGTCCAATGTCCAATATCATATTCAGGGTTGACCAGTCAACACTGGGATTCCAATCTTGTGGCTTAAGCTTGGTGTAACAAACTTTGAAGGAATGTGTGATTTGGTTGCTCAGGAACAGTTCCTGACTATGTCTAGTGATGATGTAAAACCGTGTTTATGGGATAAAAAGGTAGAAACGGTTGATGAACTTGCAGCTTTTGCAGATAAGTATGAACAATCCTAAGCGCCTGTTAGGAATAAGTCCCAGGCAGAGAGGCTTAAGTTTGGTGGGAAGCCAGGTCACCTCTTTACCCTGGGAAGAGGAAGGGTGGCCAGGAGGTGGGGCACTCACCCTCCCAGATTCCTACCTCCCATACCCATCCCAAACCGCCCTAAAAACAGAAGACCTTAGAAGGTGCTTCCACTATAATTCTACAGAACACCTGAAGTATTCCCCTGTCCTATGTTGGCTCAGTTGTCCTCAGCCCTGAGGCAGTGGAGGGTACCCCCATAACTTATCACACCTGCTTGGTGGACACTGGGCCTGGTGAACCAGACAAGGAACACATTAAGGTTGTCAAAATTGATGGCACAGAGTGTCTGGGCTGGAGAGACATGGGGGCCCAGCACTCTGTGGTTTGACCAAGTGTGGTTCCAGAGGCTAGTATTTTACTGGGTCACCTGGCCAGGATTAAGGGGGTGGGGCCGGAAAGGTTCCCAGTACCACTTGCGAAGGTTTGTGTGGAGTGGAAAGGTTTGGAAGGCAATTGACTTGTGGGGATGCTAGAGGACATCCCAGTGGACATGTTGGGGGGGGAACAATTTTTTCCACAAGGCCAGAAAGGTTGGTGTGCTAACTTGCAGCATAGAGGAGTATTGTGTAGGCCCCTCAAGGGGGGTGGTGGTGGTGGGATGAGTGTATTACCTGTCAGTGAGAAGACTGATACCTTACATGAGCCATTTTGCATAAAGTATATCTTAGTTGTACCATATTCATATTATAACCATATTTCCATGAAGAATATGGGGTTTAATGTCACACCTGTCCCCTTAGATTACTGCCAGAGGATTGGTCACAGACCAATGCGGAGGCAGTGTGCCCAGCTTCCTCTTTTCTAGACAGGGAATCTGCTACCATAGTCTCCTTCCCTTTAATGTGCACAATCTCCATGTCAAATTCCTGCAGGACTAGGCTCCAGCATAGCAATTTGGAGTTTTTGCCCTTGGTTCTGTTCAGCCATATTAAGAGTGAATAGTCCATTACAATCTTGAACCTCCTATTAAAGAGGTAAAGCCTCATTTGTTTAACAGCCCACACTATGGCATAGCACTCCTTCTCTATGACAGAGTAATTCTGTTCAGTAAGGGACAGCATTTTGCTTAGGAAGGCAATAGGGTGCTTCTTGTTGTCCTCCCCTGTTTGCATCAGTACAGCACCCAATCCAGTGTCAGATGCATCAGGACACAATTCAAAAGTCTTATTAAAGTCAGGGATAGTCAGCACAGGCTCTGCAGACCAGAGCACCTTTTTCGTTATCAAAACCCTTCTGGCAAGCCTCTGACCAAATAACCTTAGTAGGTTGGTGCTTTTTACACAAGTCCGTGATTGGGGATACAATGTTGCTAAACACCCACACACACAAACCTCCTGTAATAGTTTGCCAAGCCTATGAAGGATTGGACGTGCCTTTTAGTTTGGGGCACAGGCCACTTGACAATGGCTCCACCTCGAGAGAGTCGGGGGATATTCACCCCCTCCCAACCCAGTGTCCTAGATAAGGGATGTCAGGGTTCCCTCCCCACTTTGAATTCTAGGGTACAGACGGGGGGACCCGCATGAAAGACCCCCTAAGCTTATTTCTACCAGCTTAAGTTAAAAACTCCCCAAGGCACAAATTCTACCTTGTACCTTGGATTAGGTAACGCTGCCACCACCAAGTGATTAGACAAAACTCAGGGAAAGGACCACTTGGAGTTCCTACTTTCCCCTAAGATTCCCCCAACCCTACACCTCCTTTCCTGTGGAGGCTTGAGAATAAACAAGATGAGCACAAACCAGCCTTGGGTTTTTTTAGACTACTAAAAAAACCCAATCAGATTTAAAAAAAACAGAACTTTATTAGAAAGAAAAAAGTTAAAAGAAGCACCTCTGTAAAATTAGAATGGAAGATAATCTCACAGGGCAGTCAGATTCAAAACGCAGAGGATTTCCCTCTGGGCAAAACTTTAAAGTTACAAAAAGAAAACCAGGAATACATCTCCCTCTCAGCTTCCCCAATGGAACCCTCACCCATCTCCTCTGTGGATTCTAAGGTTCCAACACCCTTCTCTGGGATTCCCTCCGAGACACAAACCTCTATGCTCCCTAGAGCAGGATCTATTCCTGATATGTCTGTGACAGGCTTGCAGCCATCAGCTGGAACAGTCTTCTCACTGGGGGAGCAGCAAGAAGTCATGCACATCTCTCTTCACATTGCGGATTTTTATGAGCTTGCGCTGCGCAGATTTTTCTATACAGTGCAAGACAGTATTATTTTGGGTTTATCTCCCAAAAGGAGTGTGCATGTGAGTGCTGGGGGAGTCCTCTCATACAGAGCTGACTTCAGTCTGTGACTGCAGTGGGGTGTCTCCCTACCTGCAGAAGGCCAGAGAGCCTAATTTAGCAAAGCTAGGAGAGGGAACCCTGGCTGGTTGAGCAAGAAAGGCTCAGTGAAATCTCAGTACATCAGATGGCACCCCAGAAGGGGGTCCAACCAGTCACAGTGTCCACCAGTTGTCTCATCTGATGCTTTTTTGTTCAGAGTTTGTACAGCACCCAGCACAGTGGTGGCCCTGGTCCCTGGCTGGGGTTCCTAGGAGCTACGACAATACAAATAATTAATACACAGAGTGTGCTCCAGAGCCAAAGATCTGTTATCTTGCTCTCTCCTGAGGCCTTGCTGCTCTGTGTGACCCCAAACTCCACAGAATATAACGTCTGCTCCAGATCTACACTTTTTTTACCTACTAGAATTTGAACAGTTTAACTGAAATGGCTCTGAGGCTGCAAAGCAGCTGCATCCGGGTTGGCAACCTGTCAGCTTCACCTCAGCCTGATGTAGATGGGCCTGGTTTTACTTTCTCCCCTGCCTCACCAGCAATACAGATATGGATGGAGATAGAGACCCTCTCTGGTGTGGCTCCATGAGGTTCTGCTGGCTGAATTGCATTATGTTCTGCCCACCAACGGGGGTTTCAGGGGGAGACCGGGAGCAGGGGCACATGTTTGGGGCAGGCCGTTGTGCTTTTACTTTCTCAGCCCATTGTCCTGTTGTGTATCCTGGGTGGATGAGCTGGTTTGTAGATCCGCTGGGCCTTCTCAGGGAACTGTCTCCTGTACAGGAATCTGCTGTACTGCAGCTCAGGTGTCACCATGCGTCGACACAGCTGCCCCATCACCTCGTCCAGCCCTGGCTTCAGATTATAGCCTTGAATTGTGGCCTTGCCATACTGCAGCGGTGCCAGTGACTTGTCCCTGAGCTTGTGGGGGCCTACACTGCCCCCCCCTTGAAGGCAGGTCTTGGCCAGTTGCTCCCGCCTTTCCCGCAGAACCCTCACTTCCTGCTGCATGCGCTCCTGGCCCATGCTCCAGTCAATCCTCTGCCAGAAGGTCCTGTTGAAGTGTCTGTAGATTGCCCAGTCAAGCCTGTTCCAACTCTTTATCTTCTCTGCCGTGCTCTCTGAAAGGGGTGACCTGGTGCTTCTCTCCCTGCTGTTGAGTGGGAAGGACACAATGCTGTCCAGGTCCCAGCACAGTGCTTCCTTCAGCAGCACCATGGACTCGTCGAAGTACTCGGAGAGGAGGAGAAGGTCGAAGGCCTCCTCGATGTACCGCAGCATCAGCTGCATGTGCTTGGCAGAGAAATTGCCGTTGTGGTTGAAGCCGAAGTCGAAAGCCATGAGGTTCTTGGCATAGTGGCTGTCGGGGGCTGAAGCGTTATAAAACCTGGCTGGCTGGCTGAGAAACTCCTCCAGGCTCTGGGCATGGGAGAAGGGGGAGCTGCCTTTGTAGTAGGTGAATGAAGACTCCATGAGGTGGATGGGGTTCCGCAGGATGGAGAAGTAGAAGGTGGAGCTTGGCATCACTCTCTGCACCTGGAGGGGTGAGGGGAAAGGGGTGAATAGAGTGAAGGAAGCCTTCTCTGCCAGTCTAATATATCCAGGTGTCCTTTCCACAGGACTCGGGTTAACACGTCAGTTGAATTCACTGGGGAGTTAGAGAGTGTGGGCAGAGTAGCAAGACCTACCCACCAGCTGCTTTGGAAGGGGCTTTACGGGCTGTGGGATGGGTGTTTAATAGGGATATGCCCAGATGCCCAGGATCAGTGCAGTGCTTGTGAAAGGGACCCCAGGGCCAGTGCTGGAGCCTGGAGTTCTGTATTTAGCCACAGAGCAGATACAAAATGGGCAGCAGCAATGGAAGCTCCCCCCACTGCTCTCCCAGCGTGCCTTGATCTGGAATGGAAGGGTCACCTCTAGGGGGCAAAGGGTGGTTTGCTTTCCATGCCTACTTAGCTCCGGTTCCAGCTGTGCTGGTGGATTGGACACTCTTCTCCAAATGGCATCCATAAATCCCAACCACTACCTGACTTAGCCACTGACCCACGGTACATGCCAGGAGCCAAATCTGTCCATCACCTGAGCCTATCATCCCTCAGTAGCAACACGATGGTGGTGTCAGGCTTGTGGACACTGGTTCAACATCTAGGATGCAGTGTCTCCAGCTTCTGGGTTAGATCTGGTGCGAGACATTGCTGATGCTGGATAGCAGTGAGCAATGAAATATCACTGTAGCTTCCCTTTTGAGAAGTCCTGCTCATTGGCCCAGAGGGGTGTCCTGGCCATTTCACTGCTATCCTGCTGCTCTTCCTCCCACCCATTGCCCTTCTGATGCCTTGAAGCTCCATCCCTTACCTGTACCTGCTGGAACCTCATGTGGTGGCACATGATGTTAAACTCTGAAGTATTGCCTGTGGTGAATCCCTCCACAGACTCTGCCAGGAAGTAGTATGGGTAGCCCAGCTGGCTGGCACCGTTGACGGGAAGGGCGAAGTTGAGGTTGTGCGTCTCACCAAAGCGGAACAGGATGTTCATGACGGTGCTGCTGGCGCTCTTGTGCACCTTCAGGAACACCACATGGGTCTTGGGCTTGCAGGCTGCTGTGTGAGAAGAGTTGGATATAGCTGGCAGGCTGTGGGCAAGTGCATCTCCTGCTCCTCCAGCCCTGGGAATTGTGGTTTTGCTCTGAAGCGACTCTCTGTCCGTGCTCCATGATGCCGCCTCATTTCGCTTCTCTGCCTTTGTGACCCAATCTGGGGCAGCTGTTGTAGCAGGTGTGGAAGAGCTGCCCCTCCTGTGGCTGGGGGAGCCTGTGGCTTCTGCCTGGCTCTGGAATGACCCTGCAACCTTCCCAAATGGTGACCTTGAAGTTTGCTCCTTGGCAATTATCTCTGCTGTAGATTCTGGCTTCTTGTTGAAGGGATCTGCGGCCTTAGTCATGGGCTTCCTGCTCGGAGGTGGGGTCACAGTTCTATCCATATGATCCCTTTTGAGTGCCCTTTCAGATACCTGGGGCTGGGATTTCAGTCTCTTGGTTGTGTGAAGGATCCACACATCCTCGCTGTCTTCTCCATGACTATTCTTCCAGACCCCATCTTGGCTGTCCAAGGTGCTGGCCTGGGTCTGGCTGAACGTCTGGACCAGTTCTGTGATGTGCAGAATGTTTTCAGCAGACCTGGGCTTGGCCATGACTTTTTTCTGCCTGTTTTGTGGGATGCCACTTTCCAAAGGTTCAGGAAATTGGTGGCCAGAGCTTGTCCCCTTCTCCTGCTGGAACAAGTTCTCATGGCCAGTGGTTTGCTGGAGGACAAGTTGCTTGAGTTTCTGGTCACACCTGCAGTTGCTGTAAGAGGGAGAATGTTAGACCACCTTAGAACATCGTGGGTGATCTTAAGAACAGAAGAACTGCCATACTGGGTCAGACCAAAGATTCATCGAGCCCAGTATCTTGTCTTCTGACAGTGGCCAATGCCAGGTGCCTCAGTGGGAATGAACAGAACAGGTAATCATCAAGTGATCCATTCCCTGTCGTCCATTCCCAGCCTCTGGCAAACAGAGGCTAGGGACATCATCCCTGCCCGTCTTGGCTAATAGCCATTGATGGACCTTATCCTCCATGAATTTATCTAGTTCTTTTTTTAACCCTATTACAGTCTTGGTCTTCACAACATCCTCTGGCAAGGAGTTCCACAGGTTGACTTCCCACCAGTGGATCTTCCCATTAGTCCTCACCAGATCCCTGTCTCTCTTAGTCCAGCTGAAGCCCATCTCTGATGGGAAACCCACATGCACATCACCTTCCCCGCCTTCAGCTGTTGACGTGTCCTATGCATGCTGACAAGCTCCCACCTACCTAACTGTCCCTCAACACACAGCTTGCCAATCTGATTCCAGCTGCCAAACCCTCCAACAGGCCACCTAATCCAGTCCAGCCTCCCCAGATTCCCTAACCTTCCAAGTCTCCAGGTGACCTCAACCTGGATATTAGGTAGAGTGCTAACGATTGCCAAGGGCTTGAGTGGCTCCTTGGTTTCTCCCATTCTCTGCCTGTGGCACGTATGTTTGTCTCCTGAGGATGCAAATGATTTAGTCCAACCCAAGTGATTGCACTTAGCACAGGGGTAACTGGGTGAAATGTAACAGCCTATGTTATAAAGGTCACACTATGATCAAAGGGTCCCTTTTGGCCTTGAAATCTATGACAACTATGAAATAAGTGTGCAGATCTATTACTATCATGCAAGATCTGCCTTCTAGGCTCAGTCTGAAGATCCAGGTGTTATGGTGCCTGGCTCCTGTCGTAACCTGGTGATGAGTAGGGAATTGCTAGTTGGCTGTGGTATGAAGAATCTTGCTGTTTCTAGAAACTGATTGTGAGTTGCTAGAGTTGGGCACTGTGGATATGATGATACTGGTAAGCTGCAACTGGCTGTCTCTAGGATGCTGGGGGGTGAATCCAAATGTACAAGCTGACAGCAGAGCTGGGTGAATAAATCATTCAATTAATTTTATTTTGTTTGGAAATTGCCTCCATAAATCATGATTTCCCCAAATGTATGTGAAATTCTCAGTCTGTAGCTTGTTTACAGGTGGTTTGTTGCAAGTGTCTGATATTTGAGATTCAAGTAGTTTCCACAGGACACATAGCTAAAATCGCATATTTCTGTTCCCTGGTTGGATAGAGGCCTCATAAGATCAGGTTTCCAGCAATGCTTGGGATCACAAAAAAGATTCACTTTCTGCAAATGCTCTGCAATATTTGGTTAAGAGTCACAATTTTGCCAAATATTCCTGAGTCATTCTTGAGCTATTCTTGGAAAGGGGCACAGACACACCTGAAGGGGGCACAGACACACCTGAAGTAAATCTGGTTGAAAATTGGAACAACCCAGAACAGAAAACATATTTTGGTTTTGGTGTGTGGGGGTTGGCAGCATTTGGCCAACTCCTGTTCTCAGTCTGACTCTTGGGAGTTCTAAGGTGAAATATTCTCCATCCTATGTGGAACTTACCGGGTAGGTTGCAGATTCCCCACAATTTGAAGAGTAACACACAGGATGGTGACGAGGGTGAGGGAAATCCAGAGTCGTCCTAGGTGACTGTGTGTCAGTTTCAATTTCCTGAAGGGAAACACACGCACCAGGTTTAATATAGTCATTCTAGCTTGATAGTGTTTTATAATACGTGCCCAGCTGTAAAAATGACAGCGCAAGGTGCAAGGCAGTGGGGAATAAGGATCAAAGAGATACCTTTGTGTTCCTCTTTTTAAACAGCAGGTCACACTTTTTACAAGGGTCCCTGTGGTATAATGGAAGGGGCACAGAGTCAGCCATGGCCAATAAATCTTGTAGCTTGTAGCAGACCGGTGGGAACTTCCAGCTGTGGGACATTTTTAGCTAATTGAAAAGTAAATACTGATAAAAGCTAGAAATCCTATTTGCCAGGCTCTTCCATTTGCCTCTAACCATGAGATTTTGCTCTGGAAAGTGACTTCATGAAATCACCTTCTCACTCAGTCGTGTTCCCTGTGTGTATTCAAAGTAGAGCCAATGATTTTAGCAACAGAAACAGGCTTTCCCTACTGTTAATTCTTGCTAGCGGCCCAGAGCAAACACAGCTAAGAAACAAGTTTCTGTGCCACAAGTTATACCACTTTCATTAAAATGCTGGAAATAATCCACTGTTGCATGTCTACACCGTGCTCCTTGTGGCACTGGAGCACATCCGCATTAGCAGCTCTCGCAATGGCAAAGACAGCAGTGCATTGTGGTAGCTATCCCACTGTACAACTGGCCACAGAATAAGTCCTTTATGCCAGGACTCTTCATCAATATCCAATTTTATGTATCATTAGAAAATATGTATGTTACACCATATTGATACACCATTTTGTGCACCACTTTCACCTATGTAAGCCAATCAGTTCTGAAGTGCTATGCAAGATATGAGGGTTTCCATAGAAGTTTATGGATATGGGGTATGATTTTTGAAAAGCACCTACATGACTGAGGTGCACAAGTCCCACTGACTTTTGAAAATCTGACCCATTCTACTTGGACATCCTCCACATCATGCTCTTCTTTGCCACTGTTGCCAGAAATGACAGATTACCGCAGTGACTAGAGATGCAGTACCCTGGGCCGGCACAGATAACAATTGAGGAGGATATTTTCAAAGAAATTAAGGTGAGTTAGGCAGCCAGCTCCCATTGACTCCCCCTTTGTGCCTTTTTGAAAATCTCCCTTTTGTAAATAAATAGGGAATAAATTCATGTTCTGTTATGTGCATGGTGTATGAAATACATTGCATTCTTGTCCAAACAATGTACACACTATGCCTATTCTGTGAACAGTCTCCAGGGCTGCCAGTCTGGTATTGTTTTAGAAGCATTGAGCATGCTGGGCCAGGGGCTTGGCTGGTGTAAATCAGTGTAGGTCCTTTGAAATCAATGGAGCTATGCCCATGTGCACCAGCTGAGGATCTGACCTACAGTATTTACCTCTATAAGATTCAGTCCTCCAAGGTACTGATCACTTTGACCTACTCAGGCAAAGCATTTCAAAGTGCTTAACTTTAAGCATGTGAGTAGTCCCATTGACTTCAGTGAGGCAACTCACATCCTTTGCTGGAATGGGTCTCAGTGATCAGCACCTGGCAGGATAGAGTCCATATGTATTGTGCGAATAACGCATTATTTTTGTTTAGCTTTTCAAAGTATTTCTGGCAATGTGTAATGTTCAGAAATGAGATCAATACAGATTTGAAACCTTTTGACAGTACACCTCCAATGCAGTTGTGAGTAGTGGGGACTTTCTAACACTTGAACGTCCTCCTTACCGGTGGCCATGCTAAATATGTGCCGCTACCATATATTTGTGATGCTAGCAATTATTACAAATAGGCTATCTCTATAATAAAGTATATTTCCTGGGTAGCATATTGTAGCCAATTTTATTCAAGGACATTCTGGCCCTTTGTTTAGAGTTTGATTAAAAAGGGAAACATACCCAGCCAACTGGTAGCCATCCAAACTGCCCTCCTCCCCTTCCCCCACATTTTGAAGGAACATTTTTAATACACACTCATCTAATGAAATTCATTGAAAACCTCATGCTAAAGCACTGGGAAGTCACTGTTACTTTCACCACTGTACTTCAAGTTTGCCAAAATAGTTGAGCTCATCTCTATCTTCAAAGTGAGTTGTGTTTCATATTTTCACTTTATATCTGTAGGATGCGACCAGACAACCCAGAGGAAATATCATTTTATCCTAGTTGTGACACAGATCTGCCGATTCTTCTGTCATAGAACCATTCTGTCAGATCTAGGGGATTTGAGAAAATATGTTAATTTCAGATGTTACCCAGTGCCTTCTGAACAGAGAAGCTCAGGGATAACAAAAAGTCTGAATTCAGCCTGCCCTAGTCCTTGTAAAGAGAACCACCCTTCAGAGGTTCTCAAACCGGGGAGCAGAGAGGTACAGAATATATTCTACAGGGGGGAGAGAGAGTGAGAAGCAAGGGGTGGGTGGGCTAGGGAGTGGAGAGGAGTTAATGGGCAGGGCCATGTCTGCTGTACTGCCCAGGTAGGCTGGAGACTGTGGGAATCAGCTGACAGTATCTCCAGCCCAGGTGACGTGACAGCCAGTGATGGATTTAGAGTTAGTGGGCCCCCCCGGCCCTGTGCTCAGCTTCATTTTTGGGGCCCCTCCTTGGGACCCAGCCAAGAAAAAGAACATTCTCTCTTATCTCCACCCTCCCCCGTTTTTTTCATTCTTTTTTTCTTCATCCTCCTCCTATAAGTAATAGCAAGTAAATGAAAATAAAGTGAGGTACCTTGATTGTTCTTGTAGTCTAACTTATTTTTCCACAGACCACTTGAAAATTGCGGAGGGTCTCGACGGACCACTTAATGATCTTTCCAAATATTGTAAAAAAAAGTTGGGGTGCAGGATCTGGCCAGGAGCTAGGGTGAGGGAGGGGGCTCAGGGTTGGGGCAGGAGGTTGGGGTGTGGAGCACTTACCTGGGGCATCTCCTGTTTGGTGCAAGGGGTTCAGGTGGGAATGTGGGGGGTGCAGGAGCTCACGTTTGGTGCTCAGGATGGGGGTGGGGATGGGGGGGGTTCAGGAGTCAGGGCATAGGGTGTGGGGGGGCTGGGTATGTGTGGGGGATGCAGGAGTCAGGGCAGGGGGCTCAGGGTGTGTGAGGGAGGTGCAGGGGGCTGGGGCGGTGTGTGGGGGTGCAGAAGTCAGGGCAGGGGGCTGGGTGTGTGTGAGGGGTGCAAGGGGATGTGTGTGGGGGTGCAGTAGTCAGGGCAGGGGGCTGGGGAGGTGTGAGAGGGTGCAGGGGTCATGGCAGGGGCTGGGTGTGTGTGGTGGGGGGTGCAGGGGTCAGGGCAGGGGGCTGGGTGTGTGTGTGGGGGTGCAGGAGTCGAGGGAAGGGGCGTGGGGGAGTGTGGAGGGGGTACAGGGGTCAGGGTGGGCAGGGGGCTGGGGGTGTGTGGGGGGTGCAGGGGTCAGGGTGCGCAGAGGGCTGGGGGTGTGGACTGGGTTCATGGGGGTGCTCATGGCAGGGGGCTGGAGGGGGTATGCCCTGATTCCAGCCCCTTCCCCCAGGCCCTGCCCCCGCCTCTTCTCATCCTCCTCCCCTGAGCAGGGAGCGTGCTGAGGCTCCGCTCCTCTTCCTCCCTCCTGCCGGCAAGCAGCTGATCCAGCTGATCGGCAGTGTGTGTGGGGGAGGAGGAAATGTAGCACGCTGGGAAAAGAGGCGGGGGAGGAGCTTGGCTGCAGCAGGAGCCAGCAGCATCAAGCTTCTGCCCCTACGTGGGGGGGACAGGGGGCAGAGAAGAGCGGGCCAGGCCGGGGCCCCTTTGGACCGTGGGCCTGGTGCCATGGCGCCAGTGGCACCATGGTAAATCTAGTACTGGGCAGGCACAGTGTCACATGATGCAGGTTTCCCAACCCCATTGTTCCATGGGCATCCTACTACATTGCCAGCTGCTTTTCAACTGAAGTGGGGAAGGGAGGGAGAGTGTGTGTGTGTGTGTGTATAGAGGGGGGAGAGAGACAGCATGTTTTGGGGAACAGAGAGTGTGTCAGCATGCTGTCTTGTAAGTTCAGACAGCGGCAGGAAGCAATAAGTCCTGCGGCAGGGGGAGGGGAAAACCCCCCAACATCAGCCCCTGCCTCCCTCCCTGGGCTCTCTGCACAGCAATCACTCTCTCCTTTTCACACACACACACACACACACACACACACACACACACACACACACACACACACACACACACACACACACACACACACT